GAGGAGGAGGAGGAGGGGGGGGAGGATACCCTGCGCGGCTGCCCGAGCGCCCACCGCGACGGCTCCCGCCGCAGGACCTGCCGCTCACCCTGCAGGCCACCACGGAGGAGCAGAAACGCATGCAGAGCCTGCTGCTGACGGCCGAGGTGAGCGGGCAGCAGCTCAAGCTGCAGGAGAGGACTTCCAAACATGAGAGACGTATTCCTGGCAGGACTGGATCGGCGTCACCCCAACATACTTATACTATATGTGCGTCGCCCCCCCAGGGGCGACGCGCGCACCGAGTAATCTTGTAGTACATGTGTCGTGGCGGGCGCTTTCTGGCCACACCGCTCCGGAAACGGTGTGCTGCAAGATGGGCGGGTATACTATCTGTTCGGGTCGGACGCGCTCCTCCAAGGAGGACATCTAGTAGTAGTATGTCTCTGTGCGTCCCATTGGAGGGGGCACGGCCCACAGAGGAGCGGCCGAAGTCTCGTCGGGGAGGTGGTGCGTGCCACCTCGGCCGCGGCTCTCGGGGAGATTTCCTGGGGCCGCCCAGCGCGCTCGCGCTTCCGCATGCGAGAGCGCGGAGGAACGGGATGCTGGGACGAATCGTCCACCCATCCTCCTCCTCCTCCTCCTCCTCCTCCTCCTCCTCCTCCCCCTCCTCCTCCTCCTCTCCCTGCTCCTCCTCCTCCTCCTCCTGCTCCTCCTCCTCCTCCTCCTCCTCCTCCTCCTCCTCTCCCTTCTCCTCCTCTCCCTGCCATTACTGCCATCAAAGAGGAGACTCGTTTTTGAAGGCCGCCCGCCGTTCTCCCTCCGATGTGCTTGTGGCCGCTTGTTCTGGGGGCGGGGAGCTGTCTCTTGTCTGGGGGAGGGAGGTCGTCGCTGTTTCTCTGAGGGGAGGGGTTGCAGAGACCGCTCGCTTCTGGGAGGGGCGTTGCTTTGGGCGAGGGGTAAGGGCGCGGATTTGATGTTCTGGGGGCTGTTTCGGGGTGGGGGGGGGGGTGCTGCTGTGGTTTCTGCCCTCCTCCTCCTCCCTCCTCCTCCTTTTCCTCCTCCACCTCCTCCCCCTCCGCCCCCCCGTGTGGTTGGGGGTGGCCCGTTCGTCAGCAGGGGGGGGGGGAGGAGGGCACGCGTCGACCCCCAATCGCCCGTCTGGCCACCCCGCCCAGGCACGTGCGGCTTCGCGTGGCACGCCGCCGAGTCCAGCTCGACGTCCCCCCGCCCCCCTCCCCCCAGCGGGCCCCCACCCCTTTGTCCCCTTTTGTCCTCCCTCGCCTCTGAGCGCCAGCAAGGAGATCGGGAGAGGCCCGATTCCAGCTCGACGTTTACCCCCCCGGGCCGTGGCCCCACGCGAGCAAGAGAAGAGCTTTGCGGGAGAGGGCCGTCCACGAACACGTGCCGGTTCGGGGTCCAACCAACGATTTTCAGGTCGTTGTTGTTGATGTTCGGTCGTTCGGCAGGGGAGGGGCAAGTACGCCGTGGGGGATGGAGGATTGCAGGAGAGCGGTCCTACAGGAGCAGTGAGCGGCTTGCGAGCTGCCCCCGCGGGTCCAGAGGATGCTGGAATTGGTGCGCACATCTTCCCACTCGGTTCATTTCCTCCCCCCCCGTTCCACGAACGCCCGAGGTGTCCTCTTTCCGCTTTCGGGGGCCGAGGGGCCTTCGGCCGCGCTGGCACTTCCTGGTAGGCCACGGTGCGACCTGGGAGGCAGTATGGAGGAGCAGAGGTCTGTCCACGATTCAATCGATTCGGTCGTGCGTGCCGACGTCTGCGCCTGGCATTGGTCCTTCCTTCGAGACCTCCCAGATCGATCAGAGTAGATGGGTTCGCAGGATCGTGCCGCATCCCCGATGCATCGGCGATGCGGCTCGATGTGGAGCCCGATGTTCTCTACGCCGACGTCGCCGATGCATCGGTTATGCACCGATGATGCATCAACGGTGCGAGGCGATCCTCCAACCCCATCTACGCCGACCCCATCTGGGAGGCCTCTATCCACGCTGCGCATCCCTAAGTGGCGACTTGAGACTTCCACCGATAGGGTTCGGCCCGAACTGCTCGACTATGCGGGCGACCCGATCGATCTGCGCCTGAGGGCAGCATTTGGATAGCCGTGCTGTGGCTACCCCAAAGCTGTCCTGAATCATAGATCGACCAGGCCTCCTGCATGATCAAACTCATCGGCGCGAACCTCGTCTTGAAGGCGGTGTGGCGCTCGTTGGGGTGCGTAGTCGTCGCCTCGATCGATGCCGCGCTCAGATATCGGCACGTACCAGCGCACAGTCTTGCAATGGCAGGGCCCTTCCCTTGCCACAGGTATATATCTCTGATGGCCCCGAGAGTGGTCTCGGGAGGTCTAAGAATTGCAGGAAAAAGTGGTAAGGCAGCGGTTACCGAGGCAAACGCTCCGAATCAGCCGTTAACTTTTCCAGCATTTCTCAACACCGATCCCTTGGTGTGGGAATTATACGCACATGGAATCATCGGATTCAACATGTGACTCCCGCCTGTTTGAAATTTCAACACTCACTGCAGCACTTCAGGACGTAAGCCAACATCGCCAGTGAGTGTGATGCATACTACTTCTACTCATGCGCCACTCGTGTGAACATGCACGCGCGCCACAGCTTCTGAACCCGCCCATATAGAACCCAGGTTTAAGAGTTTCTTTGACGTTGACGTGGTTTCTTTGTTGATCGTACTTTGTTTGTTTTCGTGGTTTGTTTGTGTGTCGTGGTTTGTGTGCTGTCTTTGCTTGTTTCCGTTATCATGGATAGTTTTTCGTGGTTTGTTTGTTTGCCGTGGTGTGTATGTAGTCGCGGTGTGTGTGTGTGTGTGTGTGTGTTTGTCGTGGCTTATTTGTTTTTGTTTGTTTGTGTGTTAACGTGGTTTGTTTGTTTCTGTTGTCGTGATTTGCTAGTTCTCGTTGTCGTGAGTTATGTGTGAGTCGTGGTTTGCTCGTTGTCGTGGTTTGTTCGTTGTCGCGATGTCGTTGTTTCCATTGACGTGGTTTCTTTGTTTATTGTTATTTGTTTGTTGTCGTGATTTGTTTGGTTGTTGTGGTTTGTTTGTCGACGTGGTTTGTTTATCATGGTTGTTAATTTGTTGTTATGGTTTGAGTGTTGTCGTAGTCTGTTTGTTTGTGTGATCGTGGCGGGCTCCTCCTCCTCCTCCTCCTCCTCCTCCTCCTTCTCCCACCCCCTCCTCCTCCTCCTGCTCCTCCTCCTCCTGCTCCTCCTCTTTCTGCTCCTCCGCCTCCTCCTCATCCTCCTCCTCCTCCTCCTCCTTCTCTCCTCCTCCTCATCCTCCTCCTCCTCCTCCACCTCGTCCTCCTCGTCCTCCTCCTCCTCTCCCTCCTCTCCGTGCCTCAGTCCCACGTTTCTTTTTTGGTTGCGCCGTAGCCCACGCCAGATGGCAAGCTACCTCAATGCAGTTACGTGATCTTTGCAACTCGGTCGGCTGCGAGGCGGGAGTAGCACAGCATACGACTCGCACTCTGGCTGGGGATCTTTGACCGATTGGCTAGCCTCCAGAGCGTCAGACAATCATCTAATGCTTCCTCCCCGACCCGTACTGACCCCTAGGCACCATGGGTTTATCAGTCCACCAGTTATCCCCTGTGCTCTCGACCAGCCGATCTTGTATCCAGACGGCGAAAACTACGCATTGATAAGTTGAGCGGCAGGCAGGCCGCTACGCGCAGCCAGGCAGACCGCCGTTGACTACGCATTGCACCTCACTTCGGCGCGCCGAGATACATAACTGCATGCACAGTTCAAAACGACCTCCCCGCGACGATATCCCCTAACGGTGCACAGCGCCCAGCCTCTATAGTGACTCCTACACCTCACGATGCAATCAGTTTCGCGAAAAACTCATCGAAGGTCTTCGCACGAACCTCCCAGAAAGACGCGGTCTGTTTCTTGAGCCAGTCCTGGTTGTACGTGGTGATCGCCTTCGCAACATCAGTTGAAACCAGCTCCGCACACCACTGCTCGCTTAAGATCGGCAACGTCCAAAGGTGACCCCACAAAGGGCACTCATTCTCCGTCGCCGACTTCAACCCAAAGTGAATCGGCTGACAGAACACACCGAAGGGTACATACATGATGGCGCCCTTGGGCAAGTACACCACGTTGGAGGACCCCTGCATGAACTTGACCCCCTGCGGTGACTCAATGAACTTCTCGAAGTTGGCGAAGACGATCCCCTCCGCCAGGATAGCCTTCATCGGGATCAGCGCTATGTACATGCCAGGCGCGCTGATGGCCTGCACGAAGGTGGCCACGCCTGGCAAGGGCCATGCCTGGCATCCGAACCTCTTCTGGTTCTTCCGACACGTGGCCAACCAGCTGCTGGCCCCTGGATCGTTGATCTTGTCGCCCAGGTCGCAGCCCAGGGTGTCCTCGAAGTGCTTGAACTCCGCCCTGTTGCTCAGGATGGGTGCCAGGGCGCCTGACCAGCCCTTGTTATCCTTCATGGCTTGGTCAACCTGCCCTACCACAGTCTCCAACCTCGTCGGTGCCTCCTGCTGGTACTTGGTCAGCATCTCCACGACGCTGTTCTCGGACATTGTGAAGCACGCCACCTTCTTGAAGTCGAACGCGGCTGGGTCCACCTCCATCTCGTATTTCACATTATCTTCACCCTTGAACTTGCCCGCCGCGGCGGGGACAGACTGGTTCACTTCTCCCTCTGGCTGCGACTTCTGGGCCTCAGCAATCTGCTTCTGGATATTGAATATATGCGCGCCGTAGACCTTGCTCATCATCTTGCCGTGGCAGCCCGAGCCGAGCGCCTTGACGACCTTGTCGACCTCGTAGCGCCCCTTGTGGTAGTCCCTCCTCTCGGCCGCAGCGGACTCGTGAACCAAGAACTCCATGGCCTCAACCTGTTCGGAACACATCCTCGTGAGCTCGGGTGTCTCCGCCACTAGCGCGCCCACCTGCTTCTGGACATCGTCGAAGTCGTCCTTCTTCACCTTGTCGACGCGACAACTTTCCTTCTTCACCCTCTCCAAGTAGTCGTCGATCTTGCTGATGATGTCGTCGGGTTTACTCGGAAGCGAGTCCACGTTGCAACCCTTCTTGACCGCAGCCTGGTGCAGGTTCCTGATGGTCTGCTCGAACCCCTTCTGGCCCACGAATGAGGACTTGCACTCGCCGGGTATGTTCTGCATGGTCT